GAATGGTTATGGATTACATAAATGTAATACATAGTCACATCAGTATTGTTAAAATTTTGTAAGAAGTAGAAATTTTTCTAAAATGGTTTGTGAAAGAGCTAGTGTTTGCTTTTAATTGTCTGCAGTACATAATATTAATTTTATACTTTGGAATCACTTCATTCAAAGCTGGATCATTATTCTTAGGTTTGAAATTTCTCTCAATGAAATGAGGGATAGTGATTTTGTAATACGTTATATCTGCTAACAAACTTCAGTGTAAATGAATACTAGTAATTCTGCTAAATTTAATTAAAAGCTTCTCGAATTTTTGAGTTTTCGTAGGAAAGTAAACTGTACACATTTTACTAAATTAGAAGCATCTAACAAAATTATTTTACGTATTTACACAGCCTTAAAATAAATATGATGTTAAACTAGCTTGTGAGAAACATCTACATAACTATTATTTACCTCTTAGTTCTTAACGGAGATGACATAAACATGAAGATATAATTTAGAAAGCACCAATGCTTCATGAAATCATTAAATGCACTAGAGAAACTACTTGGGTTCAAGTTGTGAATGTCGGCATACGATATCGTTCGCTCAAAGAAGTCGCATATCATTCATGATTTCAAACAGGAGTTAACTGAAGTTAGCTGCTATGTTTTATTGCTCATCTGATGAAGAAATTCTGAGCTCGAATATCGTCTGAGACCCAGTTCTCTGCAAGATCAGATTTTCAAGTCTCTTAATTTTTAATTTTTAAATTCGTTCTTCAAAAGAAATTACTGGTCTTAATCTATTTCGCTGTAAGAGTGTTATGGAATTTGTACATGGATTCTTTATTTCACTATATAGTTTTTTACTACAGGTGTGATCACAAAATGTTCATTCGATAAATATTTTAAAATGAAAGTTTTAGAGCCATTAATACAATGAATAAATTTTGCAAAGCTCAATGTATTTTTAAATTCTAAGCCACATAATTTTCTACGGACCACTTGCTTCCTAAAGATTATCTGTTCTCAAATCTAGATGAATTTATACATTGCACATAACTTTATAAATTCAGAGTTCTAAATAACATTTAAAAACCATTCTTGAGTTTCATGAAAAAGTTTTATTAATATCTTCAAGTATTTATATAATCCAACACGGACATTATATTGTAGTTTATTTTTTCTTTAATCAAAATATTTCTTTTGAAGCTGGTTAAAACCTTAAATTTAAGGTCTTTGTTTCTACAGAGAAATAAATTGGAAGGCTTACAAAGTATCGATTTACGAATATTCTACCTACTGGAATTACTGAAGCCATATTTCTTTATTTATTTATAATATGCCGAATACGCTTAATTACAGGAATTGAGAAAAACTAGACAGATAATAGATAATACTGGCTGCTGACAAATTAATTTTAATTTCTTTCTGCATATTACTTTCTCAGTTTTACACCCCAGAAATCTCTCGGGAAATAGCTTTGTCACTGGTATCAGCACAATGTGAGGTCATATTGATTTTGCAAACATACCGTGCCAAACGAAAAGAACAGTTCTGTTTGCTAACCAAAGCATTTAATATAACCATTAATATTCCAAAAAGGTCTTTATTTCTCGATTTTTTTCCTTTTATGTCTGGTTTTAGCCGTCTTCTAAAACCTTCGAAATTTCATTTTGTAACTTATTAGATATTAGAACATACTCAAGAATAAATTAGAATGCATGAACGCCGAAACAGGTTTCACAGGTTTCATATTGATGTTTCTGCAGCCACTTATGAAAAGAGTTTATTTTGCTGTTCGATAATGTAATTAATTTATTTTCAATATATTGTTAAACATGAACTGGCATACTGAAAGGAAACTCTAAAATGCCATTCATATCATACTCATTCTAAAACTACTACACTTACAAAGAAAATGTGAGTCTAATCAAAATGATTGACACAATTCCAGATGAGCACCATATAGTAACTATTAATCATCTATTGGGTTAATATGCAACATATAAAAAAATAAGTTTTAAAATTTTACATTACCTTCAAAATATTGATTTTTTAAAAAAGTGCTTTTGCTGCATATAAATCAATCAAACTAGACTCGATTACTTAGTTTATACAACCTCCTTGATCACCGGATAAACTAATAAAGTGAAAGAATAAATGTATTTTTAGAAAGAGTGAGATCTTAACTTTTGCTAAAGATAGTTTAAACTGGTTATTTTATCGTCTGCATACCAAAACGGAGTTATTTCAATTTACTAAGAAGATCTTCTACAAAAAAAAAAAAAAAAAAATTGCTTCGAGATAGAACAATGTTATAACAATACATTTGTAGCAAATTAAGTAAATCTGCTACCGAAGCCTTAAAGATGATTCGAACAGTATGATCATGCATCGTTATCAAAAACACATTAATTTTAATTGAAAATCTGAAAATGAGGGAAATTTGTGCAGGAAAACTTGCTATGAAGATTCGCTGGGATAACAATTTCTTAAAGTGACTCATAGCGGAAGATTAGACCTGGTGTCTACAGTACGACCCAGAAACAAAAGGACAAAGTGCACAGTGGAAAGGACTCCTATATATATATATATAAAAAAAACTATGGGGGTCGAAATCAAAGTTAAGGTAATGGTGACTGCACTTTTTTGGTTGCAGAGGACTTGTTAACCATGAATTTGTACCTGAACATCAATCAATTAATCAATATTTTTACCAAAGGGGCTTTTGCGATTAAGAAACAGGATGTGGCGAGTTAGGAAGGAACTTTTTGATTCTGGGCAAAGGCTTCTTTTACACTATATAGCTAGGCCCCATACATCATTAACTGTACAACAGCATTTTGCTAAGCAGTCACTTGCAGCGACAAATCATTCACCATATTCTCCCGACTTATTGCCAACTGATTCTTTTCCCCTTTCTGAAGTCTAAAGATAGCAGTGAAAGGTCAGAAATTATTGAATGAAGGAATTGGTGTTAAATCAAAAGTTACGCGTGTTTTGTGAACGGTTAAATCGTTAAATCCAAACAAACAGTCAATGAGTATGCCTGCTTGTCGCAGTTGAATCCGAGCGTTCCTGCCACTGCGCAAGAATACAAGATGTGACACACACACACAAAAAGAAAGGGAGACTGGTCCAATAAATCATTGTAATTACAGAATCAGTTCTCCGTGACATTATCACCTTCAAAGTAGTCCCCCTTCAGCATTCACACACTTCTGCATTCGGTTCTGCCATTGCTGGTAATATTTCTGGAACGAGGTTTTAGGAAGGCCCTTCAAGAGATACTCCGTTTTTGCCTGAACCTCTTCAGCTGACGTAAAATGAGTTCCCTTTAAACAAGATTTAACTTAAAGAAATAAAAAAAAAGTCGCATAGAGCAAAATCAGGCGAATAAGGAGGATGCCGCGTCACAGTAATGTGTTTGCTGGTCAGAAACTGCTTGACAGATAGGACTGTGTGAGCGGGTGCATTGTCCTGGTGTAACAGCCATCCATCACTCTATAACTGTGGCCTTTTTTACCTAATTTTTTCACGAAGTCTTTTTAGTACTTCAGTGTAGTATTGTTGATTAAACGTCTGACCACTGGGAACCCACTCAATCATTACAATATCATTAATGTTGAAGAAGACAATTAACATTTCCTTGAATTTTGATCTTGACGTGCTTGCTTTGTCCATTTCCCTTGAATTCCTCTTTGTCCCTTCCATTTTAAATGTTTCCGTGGCTGATTTTTTAAGTTTCACAAGAAACGTGATGCTGATTCGCTGTTCGGTTTTTGCATTAGACATTTTTTTCGGCAGAATGCAGTTGCACATGTTCACTCAATGTCTCAGTAATCTCAATTGGTGTGATCGGTTAAGTCGAAACTGGCCGGCTGGATAGAGGAGGTGTGCGGAATGACGTCCCCAAAATAATTGTTACCAACTCTACTCTTTTTTCAAGCTACGCACTTAGTCTCTTTTTGTGTGTGTCACACCTTGTATACTCGTACGTAGACTATTTCAGGAAGGTGACTGGTAATGAAACCGGATGCTCTGGAAAGGAAATAAAATAATACAAGGATTCGAATTGTTTCAGCATCTACTGGCAAATAATTTACTCGTTTAATATTTGTGGGCCAATTTTTACGTTTTTCTGTAGTTCGCATATGGTGTTTATCGCTATGGCCAAAACTTTGTTACCGATTTTTATACTACTTCATGATAAGCTATCTATTTCAAAACTAGTACACAACTGTTTGTGAATGATAACATGATGCGGCGAGTCAAATTTCATAAAAAATTCGGATTAGGGTTTTTAAATTTAATGTTAAAACGAGTAATTCAATGATAGTTTAATATCTTCCCGCAAAAAAATGAATTAGATGCAATATATTTTTTCTTAAGATAGTAAATGATAATAGAGTTGTCAGAAGAGTGACTATTAACTGCTAAAAATATTTTAAATTAAATAATTTGAATGGTAACCTGTCATTAATAATAAGAAGATGAAAATAATAAAAAAGAGTTTTTATGAGATAAGCTTTTTATTTAAAATTCGTAAAATATTCATATATCTAAAAGGAGAAAAATAATACATCATATAGTTTAACGGGACCGAGAAATTAAATCATTCTCTTTACAAAATTATTCTACAATTTTATATCATGACTAATAAAAGCACGGGCGCCTACTTAACGAAATAGTGTAATCGAATTGCGTTTTCAAAAGTATAAGCTATTATTTTTATAAACTTATCAAAGCGCCCCACGCTTTTTCTTATTCGTCGAATGAAACTATTGATGAATTTTGTAAAGAGAATGATTTAATCTTTTATTTTTATTAAACTATGTAATAAATTATTTTTCTTATTTGTTAATATGAGCCTTAAATAAGAGTTTATTTTATAAAACTTTTCCCTTTTATTTCTATATTCATTTTAATCAAGTATACGAACTACGTTTTATTTAAACGCTATGATATTTTTATTTTCAGTACCAGTTTTCTTAAAATTTAAACATTCTTTTCTAGATTTTGAAGAACCGAGTATGCGGTCATCGTCTTCTCTTCTGGTAGGGCTCCTTTTCCTGTTGGTGATAATGAGCTTCGATGCGAAAACAGCGGAAGCCAGACGTTGTACGAGAATCTGCGAGAAAGGAAGATGCAGGCCTATATGTATGCGAGATGCTGGGTGTGTAATCTTCTGTATAATCTTGATGACTTTCAGTGCAAAATTTAATAACCATTTGTATTCCATTTACATCTTAGATTCTGATTTTCTACTCCATTTAGCGCTGTTGCTTTCATTCCGTTACAATAATATGCGTGATGATATTTTTATCTTCGTGGGAAAGAAAATTGCCCACAAAAAAAAAAAAAAAAAAAAAAAAAAAAATCCTATGCGCAGGAGATTCAGTCTTAAAGTGACTGGTAATGGTCTCTACATGGCATACTGTTTTGTTTCTGCTGGATATACGTTATTTTGTCTGGCATGTACTGCATGAGAAACAAACAACGACCTCGGATATGTAAGCATAAATAGGCATCTATAACAAAAAGATCTGATGTGTACACCACATGACTTCCTTGTATTGGAATATTAAATTATACGCATTTTTTCTTGCATTTCATTTAAACTTATTGGATTGAATTAAATCTACTTCGCCGACAGCGCATAAACCGCAATAGAATAAATGCATTCTTTAAAATTCAGTCTAGTATTTGTTTACCATAGCGACACTCTGGCGCTAGATTCACTTAACAGTATTAATAATTATATAACAGTTAACTTATATAATAATTATGTAACGGAAACTAAGTTAACTGTTATATAATCCAATAATTATATAAACAGTTAACTTATATATTCGTTCATATTATAACTCATAAGCACAAAATTATATCATTTAAAGAATAGAATTATCTAATCGTTTCCACATGTTTATTCAAATACTATAATAAATCTAGAATGATGTATAAAAAAAAAATTAAGCAAACAAAACAGAAAAGAAACAGTTTTTTCACAGACGATTGAGTATTCTCATTTAATTAATTCAGTTCTCACTTCGCGAGGAAGGCAAAATACATAAAAACTCAAAATATCTATATTAAAAATTACGAAGTAAATCTCAAACACTTATTTCCTCAAAAAAATTCCAGAAAGGATTAAGCCTGATTTAATTCGCAATAATAAATGAAGGCGTTATTTTTGTTGTTGCGAAGCTTAGTCTCTCTAGATTGGCAACAAATCTACAATTCTGCTGTTTCAAATGTAAACAAATATGTCCGCCATGTTATTTAAAACTTAACCGCACTTAAACAGCTTTTAATTGTTGATAATTGTACAAATATTGCTTCCAGAATTACGAAAGGCATGAAACCCTTAACCGGAAGATAAGAACAACATAATTCAATCATTTTTAAAGCAAAAAATGTACAATTTACAAACATATAAGAGTAAAGAAACTGAGATCACTGTGCCGAGTAACACAGTGGATATAAACGAAAATCTCTTCGCATTGGCTAAATGCCCACAGCACTTCGCTCCCCCCTACGTACGTCATCCAAATGAAAGACACAAGAAGTATAGCAGCCATTTTTCAACAAGTTTTAAGAGGGACAGCTCTGCATAGCCAAAGGTCAGTTTTTGTTTCTTTTGTTACAACTTTTTCTTGGTCTTAGCAAGACCCACTAAGTTTGTTCTCTTCTTAATTTTTGTTTTATTTTATATTTAATAACAGGTTTTCATTACAGTTTTCTAAAATCTGTTATTTAAAAATTAAATTGTTAATCTTTAAGCTTGCAGGCCCAGCCCGTATGTTTTTGTATTTTTAGGACTAATAGCTCATCGCTATTTATTTTCGTTTTTGAATTTAATTTTAATTTTAGTCTAGATTTAGGAAGTTTAGGTTTTGATTAACATATTTTAACACCTTAATGTGTCATTCTGAGCGGACGCGTCGGGAAATTGGAACAGAGAATTGAGACTATTAAAATTTCCAAGACACTTTGTCTAAATTTTAAAAAATTTTAAGCGAAAAAGTTTCAATTGTCTGTTTCGGTGAAACGCGTAATGGGGTTAGCTTGATTCGACGTTCAAATAAATGAAATTTCCCTTGAAAAGCCTGTTTGGAAGTCGAATTGGGCTAATTTACCATTTTCCGCTTACTTTTTAACTTTTTCTGTTTTTAATTTTATTGATGTTTTACATGTCTAATGATTTGATTTTCATGTGTATTAATTTTTTGAAAACGTGTTAAACCTTTTGGAGCAGCAGCTCTTGGTAACTTTTAGGCGAGCTTACTACAATTTTTATATTGTTGCGTGCGTACGGGTTCGTTACGAAATGAATGCACAAGTCCGATGAAAATTGAACAAAAATTTATTATTATCACAACAGAAATGCTTAAATTTTCTCAAATAATCATGCAGTATCACAATATCTCACAGTAGTTATCTTTTAACTACTTAAATGTACAATAGAACGTAATTCAAAACAGCTAAAGAACGCTAATCCGCGAATTCGCTATAATCAACAACGGCAGTTTTCTAAACAACAACAAACTAAGCAACTACTACTACAAACTGAGATGTTTCCTCCTTTTATAAGATTTTAAAATCACGCGCCGCTAGAATTTTCCAGTACTTTCTCGAAATCAAAAAGAGATATTTATTTATTTAACGCACGCACTCTTGTATTTTTAATTTTTTTTCCGGCTTAGCTTTCTTTTAATATTCGTCACGCGCTGCACTGCGCGAGAAATAAAACCATTTAATTTATAATTAAACTAACATTAGCTTTTTAAAATACCAAATTCGTAAACACTGCCCCCCTTCCCAAGGACTGCACGTCCCGGGCAGTACAATCCCTGGACAGGAAGCTAAACTTACAAACTGTGGCATAAACATTACATTACAATATCAAACAACATGAACAATAAATGCAATAACTAACTTAAACAAATCAAATGCTATCAAATACTAAATACAAAACAAATACTAAATACAAATCAAATACTAAATGCAAATCAAATACTAAATACAAATCAAATCAAATACACATTTAAAAACAAAATGGACCATGGTCTTATACTATTTACAATTATTTACATTATGTACTATGGCCATAGTAATAAGCTAACCTGTCGTAAGAGTTCGAAGACTCACGGATCCGAACCACGACGTCATTCGTGTTCAGCACTGTATATGGACCATCCGAAGGTGACTAATTTAGGACTCAGTCCTTTTCGTTGAATCGGGTTCCACAAAACCACCTTGTCTCCTTTGTTGGATCTATGTCTAGTAGCTCTGATTTTATGGACAGATTTAACTTCATCATTGACTCCAAATAACGCTATGTCCTCAGATGTAGAATGCAATTCGTTATTTTTTTAAAGTCCAAGGAAAAATTGTATTTCCTTAAAAGTCCAATCCGAGTATGCATGGATCTGTGATATCCGCCACATAAGCCGTGTGATGGTAGGCGGCACTTCCAAACGTGATGTTTTACGTTTAACTTCCCAGTTATGTCGATCTTATCACCAGACGCAATCTGAAGGGGTTAACACAGGATGGCGTCCAAATAAGTTTATCTTTAAACTGTTCAGCTAAATCTTTCCTAATGATGGTAACATTAGCTCCTGTGTCAATGATCATATTGCAAGGAACTCCATCGATATTCCCATTAATGGACAGTCCGTTACTGTTGCCACTCACTGTATAAATTTTAAGCGCTTTAAAACAAGGTTTTTCATTATCTGGCAACCTCCGTTCCTTGATATGGTCACTAATTTGTTTACTGCGTCGTTGCTGAGAAATGGTCTTATTTTCCGTACCTCGGGGTGTTGTTTTGCAGTTTTTCGTATGTGGCCTTCAACTCTGCAGTTCCAGCACTTTAGAACCAGTTTCTTTTTCACTTCTGTTCCGTCTCAAGCCACTGACTTGTCTGGTAAAATCATTGCTTTATATTCCGTACCCTGGGGCGTTCTGCAATTCCGTCTTAGGTGACCTTCACTACCACATCTCCAACACCTTGGAGCCACTTTCTTCTCGCTCCTACTTCGTATCAAAGCTTCGACTTGTCTGGATAAATCATCTAAAAGAGCCATCAATTGGTCCCCTGGGTCGTGGACTCGCACAGCTCTGACTGGGTAGCGATCTCTAAGAGTTGCTTGCTGGGCTGCCTCCAATTTCATGGCGTACAACAGAGCGCTTTTTATATCCTTTACATTTGCCATTCGAAGAGCCTTTTTGTATTTCAGGATCCCGGATGCCGTCGATAAAATATTGCAGCGACAGGATTTCTCTTGTTTCTGTCGGGCACTCCGAAAAGGCGTGATGTGACAGCCTTTCAACATCCGTGGCGAGCTCCTGAAGTGTTTCGGTGGGCCTCTGCTGACGGGATTTTAGTTGAAGCCTGCTGTAGTCTTTCAAACACTTTTCACCCAAAGCGCAAGCTTCCCAATGCGCCGGGGATAGAGCTTCAAAATCTAGTCCTCTTTGTTTTCGGGAAGAGTCTTGAAGGATATCCGCTGCGTCTGCTCTCAGAGAAGAAACGGCGAGATGACAGGCTCTTAGCTTGGGAATTCCCATCCATTCGCATCCGCAAACGATAGAAAATTGTGTCCTTATACACCTGCCAGGAGGTCTTCCCATCATATGTAGAATAGTTTCTGCAGAACGGAACGAGCAGGCATCGATGAAAATTTGAAAACCCTTCAGAATTGTTTCCTACCGTCCGCTATGCTCTTCTTTAAAGCTGTCAACTTCTTTGGCGACGGCAGCAGAAACCCTATCATCAATTTTTGTTCGACGGCAGAAACTCTCTCTTCTATATGTTCTTTTACAGAAGAAATTCTTTCTTCTACTTGTTCTTTTACCGAAGAAACTCTTTCTTCTATTTGTCCAACTTTAGTTTCAACCGCGTCTATTCTGCCTTCCATAGCCTCAAATTTATTTTCTATTACGCAGGTAATTTCTCTTTCATTTCGTCCTGACCTGCTTTCATCTCATTTTTAAGAGATTCATCTCTTCCTTAACGGATTTCCTGGCCCAATTTCATTTCTCCTTTAACGGATTCCTGGCCCAACTTCATTTGTTCCTGCGCCGCTTTCATTTCTTCCTTGAGGGATTCCTGGCCCAATTTCATTTCTTCTTTAAATGAGGCAAAGGCTGATATTAAATGCCTTAATTGCTCTTCCATCGCTCTTGTTATTGGCATTCAAATCCCACTTCTGACACCAAAAATTGTTGCGTGCGTACGGGTTCGTTACGAAATGAATGCACAAGTCCGATGAAAAATGAACAAAAATTTATTATTATCACAACAGAAATGCTTAAATTTTCTCAAATAATCATGCAGTATCACAATATCTCACAGTAGTTATCTTTTAACTACTTAAATGTACAATAGAACGTAATTCAAACAAAGCTAAAGAACGCTAATCCGCGAATTCGCTATAATCAACAACGGCAGTTTTCTAAACAACAACAAACTAAGCAACTACTACAAAACTGAGATGTTTCCTCCTTTTATAAGATTTTAAAATCACGCGCTAGAACTTTTCCAGTACTTTCTCGAAATCAAAAAGAGATATTTATTTATTTAACGCACGCGCTCTTGTATTTTTAATTTTTCCGGCTTAGCTTTCTTTTAATATTCGTCACGCGCTGAACTGCGCGAGAAATAAAACCATTTAATTTATAATTAAACTAACATTAGCTTTTTAAATACCAAATTCGTAACAATATTTTACTTATTTTGCAGCATATTGCGCAAGATGTTTTCTAGACCAAAATTGGTTTTTTAAAAATTGTTATTACTGCTTTGCTTGATAAATTATATAAATATATTTATATACGTTTAGTGCGGCCGATTGCAACCAAAATACGAGGTGCACATCTACATGTTATAGCAGTCCTATATACAAAATTTCAACGTTTCAACATACGTTCGTACAGACGCCCCGAAAAATTCTCTTCAGAATTAATTTTAAAGCAGTTTTATATTTTTTTGAAGGAAAAGAGTATTTTATTCTGTCCTTACGTACAGATATCACGCAAAAACATCGTTAAATTGCATTCGATAGCGGTCAAAATAGATATTTTCGTTGAAATATGCTGCCTGAAACTTTTCGCGATTACAATACTTCCTTATTACTTCGTACAAGGAAGTAAAAATTGGCCAGAACATAGCAAATCTTAAAAAAATAAAAATAAAAAAAAAACATGCAACCCGGATGTTATTTTCATATCGTATAACTAAGAGTTGAGTGAAATCACTTTTCTGGTTTAATCACATCGACATAAATGTACGTTTTCGATAAATATGTGTTCCTGTTGCCATTCTAACATAATGTTTAAATAAAACTAAATACTGAATAGTTAAAAATTAGTCAACTGTTTCACTTAATATTTCCCTAGCTTTTAGATAACTTTTTATATACATTTTCAGTTAGAAAGAAGACACTTTAATGTAATTCGCTGCACGCGGTCTAAAGTCAATAAAATTTAGCTGGAAACGGATCGCGGTAGATGCATAAAAACAAGTTCTTCAAAAATTAAGTAACAGAAGATTGGAAATTTCTATATTTGCTTTTCTCGGTGCTGATATATTCCTGTATCTTGGTTTTTACGCCTGCTTTTAAAGAGAAGAATTATTCTTCCAAGACAAATCTTTATATTTCGATATTAGGAACCATAATATTTGTGATATACCGGATTTGCTAATATGTCGAAAGTCATTTGTATAATACTTGTATATGTATAGTATAAAGTAATGCGTAATATATAATATAAAATGTCTAGTGTAAAATGTATATTACAAATGCATAATATAAACTGTTTAATATAAAATGTATAACATAAATGTGTAATATAAAATAATTACTCTAGAGCAGTGGTTCGTAAACTATATTACCCCATGCATCTTTTCCACTAGAAAATCATTGCCCCCCTCCTCTTCGAAACTTGGAAAATACATATATAAATTTACTTACATTTAAACTGTACATTTAAACTTTTACATTTAAAATATTTTCATGTGTTTTATCAATTAAACAACAAAAAGTTTAGATAATGGTGAAAATACCAAAACTTTAATAAAAGTAGCCTTTATATTCATAAACTAAAACTAAATAACGAAATAAAAGTTTGACTGCATTCGCCTCAAGTCTACGCGACTAGAAAGTTTGTTACATATGTTTATTTGGTACTTTTCCATTTCGCCGGCGCAAATCTCGCCAAGCAGACTTTGTTGGCGACAACATATAGTATACACATAAAAAATGTTAATTCTAAGAATTTTTTTTTTATTGTGAAGGCATAAACATTTTAATATGGTTTAAAATTTTGTAAAAAGCCAATAAATAAAGACAATAAATTTGTAAAAAGACATTAATTTAAGAATTTACTATGATTTCATGGTTCAAAATCCCTGATTCGCCGGTTCGTATCACGTGACCCCAAGTGATCTCATCTCACGTAAACTACGCTACTAAAATTTAATTCGCTCAGTAATAATCTACATTAATTTTAAGTTAAATCTTAATTTGGAATACAAGTTTTAAATGCAAGAATTATTTCAATTCGTACGAATAGCTTACTCAGAAATTATGTAAAACCGCAGTGCTTTACTTCGCTAGTGCATTCTCATTAGAATTGATGAATTTAACACTTGATTTCCGCCTTCGGATGAGCGGTGTAATTGCGTTCTAATTGACTTAATTACCGTGAATTGTCTTAGGGGATAAAATTTAAATATCGTGTAAAAATTCTATATTATTGTATGCCAGTATTGAAAGAAACAATCTGATAAGAAATGGCTTCAACTTGTTTTGAAACTGAGGCGTAAAAGGTTACCAGCGAAGATATTCCGTCTGGCATCAGTTAAACCATTATTGGCGACTTTATCGTTTGCGCCGGCAAAACGGAAAAGTACCGTTTATTTTAACCTTCAGAAGTGGTGAGGTAAAATAAACTTAATTTAAACTTTATGTTTGAGTGTGTATGTGTTTTCAGCAAACCATTCCGGTATTCGTTAAGAATTAGATTTAGTCCCATATAGGTTTCGCAGTATAAGAGAAGGAAAAAAGAAGTGTAGTTGAGCAACGAGAAGAGAAGTGAAAGCTTTTGAATTTTTTCAAGTCAGAAGATCTTAAAGATTTAACAATAACAGGTAGAACTACACGAAGCAGAACATTTGCTGAAACTATAAAACAAAGTATGGTTGAATTTATTGACAACATACCTTTGCGCAATGTTTGTCATAGCGTCTGAAAAAATTCCATCGCGGTTCTTAAAAATGGAATATAACGCATCTATTTCCATACAAAAAGGAAATCTGTGTAGATTTCAAAATCATTTTAAAAAATCGCTTTACACTGTAAGTCGTGCCTTTAAAATTTCGTTATAATTCAGTTTTTTTAGAGTTACTGTGCGGTGATTGTAATTTTATGGATCTACTTTTATATTGTCCATATTTTCTAGTTATCTGCGAATTAATTATACTGTTAGAATATTGCGAATGCATTCTACGGTAAGAATAATGCAAATTTTGCTTTTGTATGATGCCAGTGACTCCTAGTCTGTTGAAACGTTACTGTAAGTGGCGTCAACGTTGGGGAAAACCTAACATTGCTTGACTACCGACTTTAATAAAGAATTGAAAGTGTTGCATTGGTTATTTCCTTTTTATGTTGTTTGAATGTTTATCGGTTTCTTTTTTCTTTAAGCAGTTAAAGAACTTTTCCCAATTTAAATTTTTTAGACAGTAACCACTTCCAACGTTTTTAAATGAATTAATTGAAACAAATCTTACAAGAAATGTGATATATATAAAGTTTCTAATCCTATCAACTCTTTGCAATGAAGTGTTTTTCAGTTTTTATAGGTTAAACATGTTTTATGTATTTGTTTACAGTAGCATTTTCCCAAGGGAAAAATATTAATCTTTACTTTAAATCCCCTTTCCAATATTTTTTAAATAGTTTTTTGCAGCGCCGAATTATTTTTATTACTGCTATTAATTCCTTACATATTTATTGAATTGTTGTTTAGCAGATAAATTCTTAAACAATGACGACTTTACGTTAGCATACTTTATCAAATTTTGTTCCTCTTTTGAAGATTAAATAAATAACGAAAAGTATAACTTTTTAGCTAGTAACTCCTTAATTTAATAAAAATTTTATTACTTTATGTTCAAATAAAAAACTTGTAAATAAAAGGCTTTTTATTAAATAAAGTAAGAAAGCTAAGAACTGGCTTTATGTTAATTGTTTTATAAGCTTATTTGTTTTCTTTGTCTTTTCGGGGGGGGGAAGAGCATTATTAGTTTTCATATCAAAATAGGAATGTCTAAGGAATAAAGATATTTTGGCAAGCATCTAATTCAATACTTAGTTTTCAAACTAGTTGTAATTGTCAAATGCCAGCTGATAATAATTTCTCTTTTATTTTATAGATTCGTGGAGGAAACACCTGTAGATGAGACAGAAAATAAGAAGACTATAGGCATTCCGTAAGGAAACCGGAGGCCAAAATGTTTCTCATTTTCAGGTTTGATGATTCTTCCGTAAATGGTTTTACCGTATTTGGCGGCATATAAGACGCACCCTTATTTAGATGGCCACACAGAAGGAAAAAAAGTTTCAATAGCGTGGTTTCGTTTAGTTCTCACGTTTCGTAAAAGCCAAATAAAAATTATTGAATGCAATTACCTTCACGTATAAGACTGTGTTCTTCACGTATAAGACGCAGGTAACTTTTTTGAGACCAAATTTAGGAAAAAATCGTGCGTCTTATATGCCGTCAAATACGGTTCTAAAGCATCATTTGGGGGTCTGTGCTTATTAACACAAAACAGTTCTCTAAAATATTTCATCAAAAGTCTATAAAAAGTTGAAAAGAAGATAAATCACTACAGTTTTATCTCTTGGATGGTTCTTTTGATTTCTAATGTTTCTGTATTCAATAAATATTGCTTGATAGAAACCCAACAAAATTAAACCAGTAACTTCTAACAACAATTACCGAATGTTTCCCTTTAGAATTCATTGATTTGATGTTTTTACTAAAAAAAGAAACTAAAAAAATTAAAGCCAGTGGCGTAACAGCCCTAATATGCCAAGGTCTGCATTATCGGTGAGCCCGGTTTGGGTACACCTAGGGTTCGCCGTTTGATTTTAGGCAAGATTTCAAGGTAAAAATTTAAAACTAATATAAAATAAGGAGATTAGCATACAGCCAAAAATATAATACAGAAATTTCTTTTCAAACGATTTCTTTTATACCCTAAAAAAATCTGGAAGATTTCTTTGAAAAATGAGGGTCTTAAAAACGAAACATGGCTAAAATATATGGACTAGTTTGTGTTGATCTGCCATCTACTATAAATAAAGCAGGTTCAGAGTAACCTATAGTAATCTATAAATCCTTTTTCTTTCAATTTTTCTGTGCGTACAGTAGGACATTTTTAGGTGTGTCCAGACCGGACACACTGTGCCGAAAAGGGTTAAAACACGATATTCAGTTATCTGAATTAATGGATCACATGAAGTTATTCTGATTCTTCTTAATTCAGATAATCGAGGCTCTGCTACATTTCAAAGCAATTTTTAGGACATTGCATGTGATATTTAAGAACAGATGCAATGCAGTGCAAAACTTTCGACAGTATATTGTGACCTGTGTAGACTAAACAAATCACATCGCATTTGCAATCTACACCTTGTGCAATCTACACCTTGTACCCGAAATCTGCAGTGCCCTGGGTTGCGTAAGCATATGCCTTGAACAAGTGGTCAGCTTGTGGCAGGACCCCCAGTGTTTAGTCCCCAAGCGAACTGGTACACATTTTATAGACCCAAGTGATGGAAATCGAGGGATGAAAGTTTGAGTCGACTCATTCTAATGAGGCTCCATGGCAAACAGTACACAGTATGCTTGCACAAACATAATAAACAGTAGTCTCTTTTAAAAATATATATATATTTTGTAACATGCTTGGGTGCCAGATATTTCGTTGTATCATTAAGGTTGTTGGTGAGATTGTTTACTCACGTTTTCATACACATTTAAAGTATAATGTGCTGAGGTATCACCTTTCTGTATTGCCCGATCTCACATTTTTGAGTATGGATATGTATCACTTATCACTCATATGGTACAAAACTTCTTACTTTTTCTCACCGAATTTCTCCTTTCTCAAAACAAATTAGAAAATCAGTATCAGTGAATATTGTCTGAAATGGTGTCATTCCGGTATGTTTGTTGTTTTCTAAATGACTGTGTTGAGAATAGCAGTTTTATGATATTGAAGACAAATGGAAGATATCAGACTTTGTCTATTGGCAACAGCATCGGATCACTATTTGTAACAGGCAAAAATGTTAAGAGAAACAATTAAATCTCTCTGAGGTATTAATGAAATTCACTACCTAATTAGCATTACAAAATTCTCCTTGAAACTAGAGTTTGTACTAAATTTTAAGGAAATACATAAGTAAAAATAAAAAACATTATATAAAAACTCGCGATTAGATTAACAATATGCTTAATTTTACATAGAATAGAAAGAGAAAGAAAAAGATTTGAATTATTCGAATGCTGAATATCTAGATTCCAAATAATTAGAATTCTTTATTATGCAATTTATTGGAGTAACCGTGGAAATACATTATCTTCAAGGTTTAATTCGTTATGAACCGTCAAAAACTAAGCAGTGTATAAATTGCGGCAATCTGTTTGAAAGATACCTTGTAGAGTCATTCGGTTATTTTGAAGCAGGAGTACATTAAAAATGAACAATACCCTCGAACCTGGACATTTCGAATACTCGCCGAGTTTACTACTGTTACGCTACGAAGGCATGCAAAAAGAAGGGTGAAAGTACCTTGCATACTCCCTCTTTTAATGGGCGACTAGGAATTAGGGACCCGATCAGAATCATCTTCTACCACCTTTTTAAGTTCAGGTGCCACTGTAGAGTCATTAGATTATTTGGAAGCAGGAGTACATGAAAAATGAGCAATTTTCTTTCAGGGACTCAAACCTGCACCTCCCGAATACGCGCCGAGTGTGCTACCGATTCACCATGAAGGTATGCAGAAAGGAGGGAGAAAATACCTTATAATCTTGTGCACCAGTTTTGTGTAAAGTTTTGCCTATTTTATTAGTACTATAAAACAAGGTGTAGATTGCAAATGTGATGTGATTTGTTTAGTCTACACAGGTCACAGTATACTGTCGAAAGTTTTGCACTGCATTGCATCTGTTCTTAAATATCACATTCAATGTCCTAAAAATTGCTTTGAAATGTAGCAGAGCCTCGATTATCTGAATTAAGAAGAATAAGAATAACTTCATGTGATCCATTAATTCAGATAACTGAATATCGTGTTTTAATCCTTTGCGGCACAGTGTGTCCGGTCTGGACACACCTAAAAATGTCCTTCTGTACGCACAGAAAAATTGAATGAAAAAGGATTTATAGGTTACTATAGGTTACTCTGAACCTGCTTTATTTATAGTAGATGGCAGATCAACACAAACTAGTCCATATATTTAGCCATGTTTCGTTTTTCAAGACCCTCATTTTTCAAAGAAATCTTCCAGATTTTTTAGGGTATAAAAGGAATCGTTTGAAAAGAAATTTCTGTATTATATTTTTGGCTGTATACTAATCTCTTTATTTTATATTAGTTTTAAATTTTTACCTTGAAATCTTGCCTAAAATCAAACGGCGAACCCTAGGTGTGCCCAAACCGGGCTCACCGATATTCTAGGACAACTGAGAGTCTGTATTCTTTGTTTCTCCGCATCTCATCGGTCAGTTCATTGACAACAATGCTCGTTTCAGCACTCTTTTCGAAACTCTATTCAATCAGTGTGCCCAATTTGAGCATACCCACAGAATTAAACGATAAGTGCTATCTTCACAAAATTTTACTTGTGTACTCCTCTAGGCCTAATTAGACTGCCTTCCTTTTTTTTTAAATCTAAACTTCAACTTTAAAAGGTAGCGTGCCGGAAAGGGTTAAAAGAAAGGTCTATTTTTAAGTAAACTATGTATTCTCGAATATTAACATAATTTATTTGAACTGACTAGAAAACTGTTTCCAAGTAATAAACTTTTTGTTTCGCCATTAAATTAAATTTTTCATCAAAACAAAAGCGCAGAAAAAAATTAAATGTTAGTAAATATAGAACTTTCTTGAATTATAATCCTCAAATAACGTCTTTGCTCTTTCATCTCTTTTACGACAAATGATAATTTTTAATTCATTTTTAAGTATGCGGCCATAATTAGAAATAGCATTATTATAAGAACAGATTTTTAGTACACAGTCTCTAGGAATGAAATGAAAGAAAGATGTCTGGATTAAGAAAAGGTAAGGAAATGGAGACAGGCTGGATTAATGCAGGGTTACTTTTACTACAGTTTCCTCTTTTATACGTTACTGAAGCCTAGTTTGCTCAAAAGCAACTATTCCTTCATGTCTTCATTTCACCTAGTGAAATCAATGTTCTTAAAAGCCTTACCTTGTTTGTCGATTGACCTTGGATGTAGGATCGTGGTTAGGCTTTTAGCAGCCCAGGACAAACAATGCAACTTCTAAATTCTATCGCTCGCTTTCTTCTTTTAAGTTCATAAATTTTTGCAGCCTCTAAATTCTGACGCCCTGTGCAACTGCACCAGTTGCACGGCTCTGGCTCCGACTCTGCTTGGATGAAGGTGTAGCTAGGTCTTATGAAGTTTCTTATCTTCCGATTGATTGACCGGCCCACCAGCGGCCGAGCGGTAAAGTCGCTGAACACTGGTAGTTCGGTCCGAGGTTCGAATCCCGCGAACGGGCTGGCTGCATGGGCGTTTTCGTGGTTTTCCCCATGTGTAACGTGTATACGAGCCAGTTTTCCTTAGAAAGTCCTCCACGAAAGGCATCCCTCCCCTTAGGCAGATATCCCTCGTGTGCTTTGCCATAATTAAATACACCAACACCAACTCCGATTGATTGACCTACTCGCAATGCCTCGTCAAGGGTAATTCTTCCCTTCGCGAAACAAATATATGTAAATTTGCCACTGAAACTAGTTCTGTAAGAACGCGAAAATTATTGTTGCGTGCGTACGGGTTCGTTATGAAATGAATGCACAAGTCCGATGAAAAATGAACAAAAATTTATTATTATCACAACAAAAATGCTTAAATTTTCTCAAATTATCATGCAGTATTACAATATCTTCAACAGTAGTTATCTTTTAACTACTCAAATGTCCAATAGAACGTAATTCAAAACAGCTAAAGAACGCTAATCCGCGAATTCGCTACAATCAACAAGAGCAGTTTTCTAAACAACAAACTAAGCAACTACTACAAACTGAGATGTTTTCCTCCTTTTATAAGATTTTAAAATCACGCGCTAGAATTTTCCAGTACTTTCTCGAAATCAAAAAGAGATATTTATTTATTTAACGCACGCGCTCTTGTATTTTAATTTTTTCCGGCTTAGCTTTCTTTTAATATTCGTCACGCGCTGCACTGCGCGAGAAATAAAACC